TTGCTTAATCGCAATAAGCTTTGTGCTCTGTTACCTTTTAATAAACAAAGTATCAGCTTTAAAATTCTGCCAAATTCATAACGAAATTCAAACAATAAGTAGCCTACCGTTTTGGCGCTATTTAATGCAGTATAAGCGATCGCTTTAGCGCCTCTGTTCAAGTGGCACGTGAACCCGTCATATCTTTCTCTTTACTATTATACGAAATACACATGAATGGACATAAGATACAGTACAACTTACTGAAATGTCTCATTGTAATCGCTCATTCAGTGTTTCAAACTGCGGGAAACGTTTAAAGCTTGTAAAGAATTCCACGTAACAATACATTTACCTCAGAATAACCATTCAGCATCCATAAGCTCATAAAGAAAAAAAAACCTATAAAGAATTGCTTTTAGATAAATATATGCGCTATATTGCATATTCATATTTTACTTAACCTGTCTACATGATAGGAAAGAATGCAAGGAGCTAAGGATAAAATTCAACACCTCCTATATAATTGCATGTTACTAATGAAGAAAAACAGACTGGACGTGTGCAAGACAATATGACATCATTTATAGGATGCATTGAGGAGGAGCCCAAACTACACTCAATGACCAAGTGATGCTGACATAATAATGGTCCATGATATTGGCACAAAGTGTAATAAACAATTCTTTGTGACTGTATATAGTTCTCAATTTGGAAAAGATGTTTAGTTCCCACTTTAAGTGAACCTTAGTTCCCAGGACCTCTACAAGATGGATTAAAATCCTGGTGCTGTAAAAGGAGGGGAGACATAAACACATAACAGTATGACTGAAATGTTAAGGTGTTAAAAAATAAATAAATAAAACCCGTTTATTCTGCACTTACAAATAATTTGCCTCCTAAATTTGTTTGTTATAGGAGCCAATGTGATTTTTTTTTTTGTCTGGAGCCCTGATAATATCTTATGAGTCAATAAATGATGTGGACATCTGTTATAGCTGATATAACCTCTTTCAAAACTTACAGCAGCTAAAGAATGTGCATCAGGAATGGAGGGAGAGAAAGAGAAAAGATAGAGAGACCAAATAGTGATAAAATCTGTAGCTCCTGCTGAGGAAGGCGTCTTCAGCGTGACTGAAACAGCAGGAGATCACATCTTGCATTCCATTTCACAAGCTTCTCAACAGAAACGCTGCAAGACAAGCAAGTTTCTAAACACGTACAGACTGGGAGAGACAAAAACATCAAAAATAAGAAGCAGGGCATGTCTTCCATGTTTATATGGATGAGTGCTCTAGCGTAATGAAGATGTCCCGTGACTGTTCACCACTCCCGGGCTTTTGTAAAAGCTTCCAGAGTAGAGTACATAACAGGACAGACAGTGAGGATGGTCAAATGGGGTAAACATCTATCCTGACATTCGGTTGGCCTCATATGCGCCTCATATTGTTTGGATTGTGATGTGTTGAGAGGTGAAAGAAGTGTTGCCAACTAAAAACTAAAGTTGGCAACTAAAGTTGTTTTTGATTTATTCAGTGTTCACAGTATTCACACATTGTAGGGCAATGATATAATAACCTGTAAAATCAGTGCATACCACATCTATTGATAATAATGCAAATTAAAACAGTATCAGTCAGTTGTAGGCTACATTGTGGTTACAATAGTGGAAAATTTGAATTCAAGTGGATTTCTTGGATACGGGTTTTGTTTATGTAGCAATCATTAGTACAGATTGTTTGTTTTATGTAACTTTAAATATATATATATATATATATATATATATATGATATAACTATAATAAATATATATGATATAACTATGATATAACTATAATAAATATATATGATATAACTAGAATTGGTTTTATAACTTTTTTATAACAAGTCCAAAGGGTGTGTCTTTTTGAGTTACTCCTTTTTTCAATGCTATATTAACACATTCAGTTAAAACTAAAACCAAATGTCATGGTCAGTGAAACCCACAATGAGTTGCTCAAGGGAATGATACAATGTTTTTTTCTCTTTCTCTGTCTGTCTGAGCTAGTTCGTAAAAGACATGATTAAAAACTTTTGTTCTGGTGTTGCCAAACACTTCTGACAGAGAACAACACATCTGACGAAAGAACAGCCTCCTGTCTTGATTTACATGTGGTTCGTGGGAAAATAATTGAGCTAACATATTTCTATTGAAGTCAGACTTTAGAGTAGTAACAGCCATGGCCTCTGAGCATCACGTGAACCCTTGTGAAAAGAAGTGAGCTTAATTGTAGTGAATGTGCACTTGTAGTGTACTTCAAATCTTAAAAGTATATTTCAAATAACTGACCTTGCAAAAAATATACTAATGAAATAAAAGGCCACCCAAAAATGAAAATTCGGTCATCGTTTACTCTCTGTCAAGTTGTTCCAACAGCTTATGAGTTTCTTTCTTCTGTTGAACACAAAAGAAGATATTTTGAAGAATGTGTGTAACCAAAGAGTTGACCATTTGTTTCCATATATATGAAAAAAATGTTCGTAATGGCTACCGTCTGTTTGGTTACACACATTCTTCAAAATATCTTCTTTTGTGTTCAATAGAGGAAAGAAACTCATAAGCGTTTGGAGCAAGTGATGAGGAAATTATAACAGAAATTTCAGTTTTGGGGTGTACTTAATGAGAGACACTTTCATAACTATGTTTCTTAAAATACTTATACACTTTAAAAACACATTTTGCATAACATCAAAATTTGTTTATTTTAAATAATTATCTTTTAATAACATTTTATCTTGCTTGCTTTTTTATTTGATATTGCATTTAAAGTTACTATATTTTGAATGTGATCAATTTCAGCTTCATCATTACAAATATGCAACTACAAATATATAAAGTATATTTTAGTTTACTAAAAATGCTTATCAGTACATTCGAAAGTACACTTTAATCATATTTCAAAGACAATAGAGATCATTTCTAAATTACATATAAAAAGTCACCTACTTAAGAGAGTCAAAAAGTACTCTTAATTTCAACTTAAGTAATTACATTTAATATAAATTTTAATTATAATACATCTTGATTTAATCGTAAATAACATCCAATTAAGTGTTACATTCAGTTCACAAACAAGCATATTCTGTTAAATTATTTTAGTTTTATAATAAGTACTTTTTAAAATTATGCTTAAAGTGTACTTCTCGTTCACAAAGGAAGCTTTAACTTAAGTTGCCTGCGATTATTGTGACAGATCAAGTATCCTATGTTGTGTACAAGTAGCAATGTAATAGCAATCAGATTTTTAGGATAGTAGAAAACCCAGTGTTTCTCAGATTGCCTGAGCAAAGCCAATGCGATTGTTTCCCCGATCAAACTCTGTATAGTATCGAGCTATGAAGTTTGCCCCCAGTATCCAGATGGGACCAGTAGGGGGCGGCACATCCAACGCTTTGAATGTCACTGTGCAGATGTCCTCCCCAAACTCAGACTCCTGTAGGCAGAACAAAAGAAGACAAAGAGACATTAGAAAGACAATGCAAGTCCATATAGCTGTAACATAGATTGATGAATGTCAAAACAGATGCTACACTTCAGAAGTCATCTGGAAAATGACATGCAAATACAACATGAGGCATTTCGTATTTAATGAAAAAAGTCACTTGGTGAAATAGATCCCAGATTTCAGTGCGAAATGAAATGCCAGACTGACTGAGTAGTACAGAGTCAGCAATAGTATTTCTAACGAAAACGGCACTTCGGTTAACGCTAAACATTATTTGAGTGAAATTGTAAAAAATAAAATAAAATAAAAAACTGAGTCTTCATCATGTGAAGGAAGGGAGCTTTCAAGTTCGAGATATTTTCACATTTTATTCTGTGACATAAAATACATCATTAATCACCCCACTTGTGTGTTTTTAAAAGTGTTAATGTGTCTTTAAAAAGGCAATTGTTAACAAGTAGATAAATGGGGCTAAAGACCCTTGTGAAAAAATAAGTGTGCTTAATGTGTGCAGTTTGTCATTTTAAAAGATTTACTTAAAAGTACATTTTAAATAATTATGTTTTAATAATCTTTTGACATGCTTTAAATAAGTACACTTATTTTGATATATTGACTAACATAAAGCACCTTTAAGGATGCTTAGCTGGATTTTAGCTATAGTATGTTATTCGACATTTCAAATTTCAATAGATTTTAAATGTATAAGTTGCAACTTCATCATTACAAATGTAATTACAAATCTATTTATTACATTGTAATTACATACTAGTTTCAATAGAAGTTACATTAAATCTAGTTCATTATAAATACAGCCATATTCGGCAGTACACCATAACCATAATTCAAAGACAATAGAAGTAATTATGAAATTACATTATGAAATTTCATCATGACATGTATGTTCTAAAGTACTTAAGTGTGTTAAAAAGCATTCTAAAGTTCAACTATTTAAATTTAACATACATTTAAACATTTTAAATTATAAAATAACATAGTTAAGTGTAAACAAATTACCTAAGTTGTGTTCATTAGTGGAAATGATCTTGACTAACAAAACATGTCAGAATCATAAACTTTTGTTGGTCACATAGCTTATTTTCTGCAATAATCCAAAAATCAATGAAAAATCCCAAATTTGTTTTTTTTTTATTTAGGGAATCGTCTTCTGTGTTGGCCTACAAAGGCCACTCCATAATCCATAGCCTAGTTACATTAAAGGTGCACTCAGTAATTTTTGTTTATGAGGTAGTCATCTTACTTATACTGACACCTAGTGGTGTGTATGTAGCTTCCCGCAAAAGACATGATAGTCAGCTATGATGAATTTATTCCACAAGCAAAACTGTCCAATAACAGGAGGTTACTACGAGAAAGTAAGTAGCATTCAACCGGTCATGTGATATTAAAGTGGGAGCCTCCAACTAAAATAAATAAAAAATAAAATAAAAAGCTTTATTAGGCTACTGATCTGACTGTCTTCATTTCATGTCAGTGTACATGAGAAAATTAAAGCCTTTCAAGATCAGCACCACCAAATGTGACATACTGTATTAATATTAACACTTTAATATTGTGTTAATATACTACCCTTGTAATGAAATAAAGAAAGTCCTCACCCAGAGAATATAGTCCTCTTCTGTGAGAGAATATTCCTGACCACCAAGATGAAAAACCACAGTTGGCAACAACTTGACTAGATTACAGTTTACAGTATACTGTGAACAGAGTGAAAGAGAGAGAAAATGAGTGAGCTTTAAAACCATTCAAAGACAACATTGTGCTGCATCATTTTGCAAAACCGAAATGACACTGAACTTCACACTTGAAAAGAAAGAAATACAAACATTTTCCACATTTAATATCACCAACCACAGTGGTTATGAAAAAAAAACATCAGCTTTCAGTCATTCCATTTGCTCTTCAGACATTATTTATGAGACACAGCCAAACATGATAGACCGAAGCAGCTGTTCCCATGGAGTTGTGCAACAGGAAAAGGAAAGAGAACAATAAGAAACAGGTTTTAATGCTAAATATAGAAGTATTGTTTCATAAAAGCTTGTATGTATGGGATGTATATGGGATGCCATGTTGGCGCATGATCAATCACCCTAAGTTTGTTTGCGATGTGAAGGTGTTGAGTTTCATAATCAATTGCCTTCTAATTTATAATCAGTTGTCACTGCTGAATGTTTTAGAAGGTCCATCATGCATTGTGTGCTCTCTGTTTATAAACAACTGGAACACATTGTTCGTTTTTTATGGCTCTAGAAAGTTTGAAGGTTTGCCACTACTGCTGAGATTTAGAGATTTCATAATATTGTTTTCAAGATTAAAATTTTTGCTTCTTCAGTTTTCATAGTTTCTGTTGCCAAGTAGCGGATTCATATTTTTGGTTCTGAAAAAAAAAAAACTCTTTCCATGGCTTAATCTCTCAAATCAATTTCTAATTCTCATTAAATTAAATGTATGCTTTTAAATAAAGACAGATTTTTAAAGGGATGGTTCACTGTTTTTTTTCTAGGCTTGATTGTGTTTATAGGGTGCAGTCTAACATGTGTTAATGCTTCGTTTTTTTAAAAATGCATTATTTTTCCCATAATTTACCTTTATTCCACACCGCTCTGTCCCTTCTCTGAGAGAAACGCTGGTCATTTCCTTCTTTTATGAAGCCCCTCCCTCAGAAATACGCGATGGGCTCTGATTGGTTAGCTATCCCAGTGTGTTGTGATTGGCTAAACCGCCTCTAGTGCGCGTCTAAGCGTCCCGCCCCTCTCCTCAGCGGCATGTGCTCCGGTTGTATTGTAAACAACGGTGTTGTTAATATCGCTTATCAGTTTGAGCCCGATTGCAGAACCTGTGCAAGCACAGCTTTTAATGGTAGGCCTATGTTTTTTGTTTGTTGTTGTCTTTTAGATATGCTGTTATTTGCAAATGCTACTGCTATGTTAGCTTTTAATATATGGTTTTATCCTGATTAAAGCTTTAATACAGTACGGCAATATTAATATTACGCGTCCATGTTTAACGCTTTTCATAGTTATGTGAAAATAAGTGTATAATTGTAACAGTTCATTGTTGGAGCTGAGCTGAATGAGAGAGAGAGAGAGAGGGAGAGAGATGCAGAGATATCTCCATTTGCATTGAACTTTCAGCTTCGTAACTTTGCAGATATTGTTTATGCTCAAACAGCAACATTACACACTAACTAATGTTAAAAAAGAGAAATCGCAATGAACCACCCTTTTAAGGAATGTTCGTAAGGTTAGCTAAACAGAACTCACCCCTCCCTCTGCCAGTTCAACGGCACCGATTGTTTTCATCAGAATGGAAATGGAGGAGGCGGGGCCTGTGATGTAGGAGGAGCCTGTATCAATAACAGCAGTACAGCCGTCCATGCAAAACAACATATCTGCACCCACAGACACTCTGCAGAAAAACAAAATATTATTGAAGTTAATCAAACACATTGCAATGGATTATGTTTCAAAAATGTTTTTAAAAAAGTTTACTTTCTTTTGGGGAGCCTTAAAGGAATAGTTCACACAAAAATGTACTTGTCTTCAGGCCATCCAAAAATGTAGATCAGTTTGTTTCTTCTTCAGAACAGATTTGGAGAAATTTAGCATTACATCACTTGCTCAGCAATAGATCCTCTGAACTGAATGGGTGCCGTCAGAATGAGAATCCAAACAGCTGATAAAAACAATAATCCACAAGTAATACACATGTCTCCAGTCCATCAATTAACATCTTGTGAAGTGAGCTATGTGTTGTAAAAGAAAAAAAAAATCCATTATTAATGAATTTTATCTTCAAACCATCACTTCTAATCTAATCATGTGAATTATTATGTTTTTCTCAGCAGTTTGGACTCTCATTCTGACGGCACCCATTCACTGCAGATGATCCATTGGTGAGCAAGTGATGTAATGCTACATTTCTCCAAATCTGTTCTGAAGAAGAAACAAACTCATCTACATCTTGGATGGCCTGAGAGTGAGTAAACTTTCAGCAAATTTAAATTTTGGGGTGAGGTGTTTAAATATTTTGCCCAATAATTGTTTGCCCAACAATATCTTTAATATCTTTAAATCTATTTATATGTGCCATTATTGGCCTGAAATATATTGCACAAGTCATATTTAGGTGACGTGTAGGCCAAGTATGGTAACCCATAACTGGCACGATCATCTTCAAAAATTTGTCTCTTGTGTTCCAAGCAAAGGAAAATACGGATATGGAATGACATGAGGGTGAGTGTGTGATTGATTTTTGGGTCAACTATTCCTTTAAAGGACACAGGGCAAGGATTGATTACCTCTCTGGAAATGGTTTGAGATTCTGCTCAAAATTAAAAACGGATGGCTACCGGATATCTTGTATAAACTGATATAGGATGTCTAGGAATATTTGTGAAAACTGTGATGTAAAACAGATGTAGAATGGCAGAAAAAGCTACATGGAAAGAAATCATAATTGTTCTGTAAAATTGATGATGATAATATTCTTACCCCTTCATAACGACCTCCCACTTGCCTTCCTCTTTGGTATTCATATAGTGGAAGGATCCAGTGTGGTAGTTCGGGTCTGTGCCCCCCAGCACTAGTTCTCCACCAGGGATGTGTGTTGGGTCCCTTATAGTTACACACACATATACATACAAAGATATGACTTGTAATCAACTAGTACTGTTTAAATACATTTATTATTACACTATACAAATATAATACAAATATAATACATTATATATATATATATATATGTTTTAAATAATATTTTACAATATTCATGTTTTACTGTGTTTTTGATGTTGGTCAGCATAAGAGACTTATATAGTCTCTTATATAAGAGAATAATAATAATAATTGTACAGTATATAATTAGACGTCTGATGACCCAGCATAGTGAATGTAATATAATGAAAATATTTTCGCAATGACAAAGACCCTCATGGCAATTAAAAATGACAAAAAAATGCAATCATGAAATTTCTCACTTTTGCTCACCCTGTATGTCAATAGATGCTGACGCTCACCTGCTGTAGTACACAGAGAAGACGTTCTGTTTCAGAACATGTTGAGACATGATGCGATCAAACACAGGTGTAATTCCATCAATGGCTACATCTGGATATCCCATCCCTAACACTCCATCAAACTTGGCAAAGATGAACGGGATCGCAGGAAGAGCTGTGGCCTCTGCAAAAACCTGCACCACCGGGATACCACCCACCTAAAGAAGTTAGAGGTCAAAGGTCAAACGGCTCAATCATGTACTATGTGCAATTACAGTTCTGGTCTTCCATATTGCAGTCAGTTTGTTTTAAAAATCAATCAGTATTTTGCCTTATTGCATGTCAAATTTGGTCACAAGCATCTGGACTTGGTTATCCGTTGACGTTTTGCTGTGCTTGACTTACTATGGTAACCTGGATGGCAAAAAATATTTTGCCTCGGTCATTAAAATACCGTTTCCATACTTTGGTAAAGATATTCCTTTTGAACTCATTTCTGAACATTCCCAGTGCTTTACATTCTAAAACAAATGGCTTTTTGTTACTCACTACAACCACATCCTCGCTCAGAAATCCCCGGACGTTTCCAGAAGCATACTGGATGGAGAATCCCGTGCCGTTGTAAATATGCGTGAGGGATTTGGAAGCATCGTACCTGTTGTGTGTAACTAAAAACAAATATGGAGAAAGACAGACTGAGCTGTAGGAGAAAATTTGCAGGTTTTGCTTTCCATTTAAAAAGGTATGTTCACATAATCCAATGACTTTGTAATATAAATTGTTATGTGGTTTTTATATGATTGCATTTAGCAAATCACTCACAGCAGGCTGTGTATAAAGGAGAACAGCTGTGTGAAGGAACCCAGAGGTTGGCAGAACCCGTGTCAAAAACAACATTGAACATCTGAGCTGGTGAACCAATACTTATCTCACCAAAGTATTGAGTCTGGAAATCAACAGAGAAATAGACAATTAAAAATATAGAATTGTCTATATGAAACAACAGACAATTAAAAATATAAAATTGCTCATAATTGTGGTTCTTTTCCATTTTTAATACTGATTTACATCTAAGTAGTTGATCAGAGGTGTTGGAGCTGTGCCGTTTTTGGGTGATGGTTCATCATATTTGGGCATAATCTCAGAAAACACTTGAGCTGGTGTGACACCCATTTCCTTCAGGTTTTCTCGTATGGAGGGCATTTTCTTCAGTTTTACCCTAGCAACGAGAGAAATAACTCATTACATGTATTATTTGTTTGCACAACTGATAAAACAGCAACATTAGATGGCAGTGCATTTGATCTGATTTTAAAATGATTTTTCATAATTTTTCACGATTATCATTTATCTTCATTTCAAAATAAGACAGATACAATCCCCATATGGCAAAAATAGATATACATTTTGTAATAAATTTCAAAACTACTCAAATAGATTTTAAAATATATTTTAATATAAAATTATTTTTGGTACATTTTAGTTACTTATATTTTCTCTTATTTTTGGCCGTTTTTAAAATGTTTTCAGGATAAATAACCAATGGGCAAATATCGCAGACGATTATGCTTAAATCGAGAGAAGCAGAAATTGTGATCACAGTTACACTTCAGCCTTATCTGATCTGAACCAACACTGAACTGACTTGAGCTTAAAAACGGCACTATTGCCTTTTAGAGCTGCTTCACAGCAGAATCTGAAATGTCTCCATAGTTGCGTTTCCATAACTGATTCTGCTGTTTTTCTATTTATGTCTGTGAAGCTGCTTTGACACAATCTATATTGTATAAAGCGCTACGGGATTAAAGGTGACTTGACTTTGCTAAAATATAAAGGAAGCTATATATTTTCATGAATAAAGATGCATTTGTACTGTGTTAGGAAAAAAACATTGCATGATATTGTAAAGATAACATGTTTCTCAAATGAAATAATTGGCTTTTGTTGTTGTATTAAAGCCAGCAAAATTGTTCTCCACTGAGGAGTGTGTAGACTTACCTCCATAAGGCCTGTACACTTGTCGCTGAGAGTGACAAAACCAGAAGAGCCAAGCAGTGCACTTTCATTCTTACAGATGGATCGAAGCACTTAAACTACCCAATAACCAGTGTAACTATACGCACCACACGTCTTATGCTCCGACTCACTACAAACTTCTCTTTTAGTGTGCTTTTTTTTTGACAGACTCTCCTTCCTGTGTTTTTATACGATCTCTCCTACGCTCTATTCTGACCTTGACCCAAACCCCTGGCTTTCTCTCTCCTCTCACCCCTCCTTCTTGATAAATGCTCCCTGAATAAAGTGACCTCACGGTCAAGGGACACACATCACACACAGTGATTTAAGACCACTTCACTTAATAAAATCATCATTGTATGGGCCTGAAGGATGCAGATGTATAGGGAAAAAAAATTGACAGCAACTTGTGTAAATTGTTAAAGAATATAACACATAAATATTGAAATATTATCATCATATCAAATAGCAACACATATCATAAAATATCTGAAATTATACAACAGATGTGTGTTGCTCTACAATATATATTACGGGACTGACGTTCTTGCATGCAACTCTTAATGACCCTTGACCTTTAAACTTAGGGGCAGTGTGGATGCCTAGAACTGGGTTTCCCACAGTAATGGGCCAATCTCTTCCCCTGAAATTCCCTCATGAGACTCTCCATACATAGACATCATCTTTTACGTCTATTTTGCTGTTTATCTTCCCTGGACTCATTTTTTAAAGGTGCTTCAGTAATTAAGCACTTTGTAAGATTGGTTGGTTGGTCTTTTTTTGAAGGACTAGCAGGTTTAGTCCTCAGACTCCTCACTGAAGAAGATAAGCTACACCTGCACAATAATATTTCACAGTATGATGACATTAAGTAGAGTTAGAGAGAAGCACCAACCAACCATGACGATTGGCATCATACTTGGGCTAGCAGCTGGCCTAGCAGATGCCTGTGAAACTTCCCCTGGTGGCTAAAACACACAGTAATACGGTAATGCCCACTGGTTACATTATTTGACCTCAGAGTTAAAACTTGTACTGCAGCTGCCATACAGCAATTGGCAGTACTAACATTACATCTATTTATATTAAAAAAAATTAAGTGAACTTATAATCATCTGTTGGATGCCATTCTATGCACTTCTTCGCTAATATGATGGTGCCATCACAATTGGTTCTTGACACTTGCTGGCACTTTTCAGCCGAACAGCTGCTCATTTTGGCCAGGCAGTGGTTGCACTTACCTTCCTCAACTACTACATATTAGTGTACTGGAAGATAGACACAGAGAGCATCAACTGATATAATCAATTATTTAATGCTCATAATATTAATTAAAACCTATTTTCTGATTTAACGTAATGGACAGCAAAGGTTGATTCAACACTGATTGAACTTCGCTGTAGACAGCAAATGTTATTTTTGTTTTCTTATTGTCTTTGCTCAGCACACACAATACATTCACAGTATAAGATAAACAGTGTCTATTGGGTTGTTGAATGAACAATGTATAAATAACATCTCATTTTTAGGCAGTTATTTGAGGAATGATGACAAAAAAGTGGGCCTACTATGCATTTTGCAACTTGCAGTCACTCGTATAGTTTTGAATGGGGTAAAATGCAATGGGACTGGCACCGGCTGGTCTAGCCTGAAAAATAAGCTTTTTTAACAATATTTGAGCAAAAGAAACAACAATTATGAGACCGTTGTTGTCAGATTTCACTGGTGATTTCAAATATGAAATTTAATAGTAAGCTTGGCGAACAGTTTTGTTGAATTTGATGTTTCCCCATTCAAAGAGATAGGAGCTGTGCTTGAATGCCCGAGAGGCGTTTCAAAGATGGCCGCCGAGACTTGCCTTATATGGACAAATCAAATGGATGTAGTGTAGTGTATGCTCATTGGTAGAAACAATATTTTTGTGGCCTTTTTTGGTAGGCTAGTTTATCGGTGGTAGGTTAGGTAACAGTTCAGGTACATTCTTTGGTACTATAGATGTGTCCCAAATCATGTACTTATGCACTATGACATTTTGTAGGATAAATAGTGTGAGTAGTGCGTTCACACTGAAAATTCCCAAAAGAAAAAGTGCACTTTAAATACCCGGATGATGCACTTAACAACAACAACAAAAAAACAAGAATGTTGCAGCTTTAATTACGCAGCGAAGGGGGAGGGGCTATCAGATTCCGATAATGAATGACAAGATAACCTTATAATTCATACACTACAATGATGAACTGCCTTTAACTGAAAATTGAGTGTTTACTATTATTGGCACACTATTTTCCTATTTAATGCTGTAAAGTTGCTTTGACACAATCTGTATTGTTAAAAGTGCTATATAAATAAAGGTGACTTGACTTGACTTCCACTTTTGTATTGTACGTGACAGCTTAATCTTAATTGTATTCAGCGGCAGAACCACATCCGCTCGCTGTAACATGTTCACTGCAGCTGAGGCGGAAGTGGACGCGCGTCATTGGCTGCTGAGCTGAGCTGCTCTCCAGAGTTGAGCTCGTGCTCTCATTCAAACGGCTGACTTCTGGAGCGCGCGCAGGGAAAGGGGCTCACATTCATGTTTCATCCGTCAGCTAGACAGCTACATGATTCTGCCATCCAAATATAAAGGTAAGAAACGATTAAAAGCGACCTTTTTGTCTTTAGCTAGCGCCAGCTGACAGGTTCTCCAACGCTAAACCGAACTTGTAGCAAATGAAGAAATAAGGCGGATGTGTTGAGCTCATACATTTGACACTTGACACTTTACATTTGCTAGAAAGGGTGTCTTGTAAAGTGTTGCTAAAGCCAGGAAAACCGTAATATTTAATATGTTAGTTAGCATTGTGACTACAACAAACTGTTGACAAACTACCTTATAGGGTTTTGTCACTTTCAAAGTCGCCTTGTAAAATCATGATTAACGTATTTTTAATAACAATGAGCTTTCGTAGTCTGACCAACCCAATTCGTGTATTGGAGTGAAGTAGAATCACATACAATGGAATGTAATCAAATACTTCCTGTACATGTCAATAAACCACCAAATATAGACGCTTCTTGACAAAACCGGAACCTAATTTCAAAAATTGGCACAGCTTGTGTTAATATGTGACTATGTGAGGCAGAAGTAAAGGAAGAACTGTCAGTGTGTCTTATTTGGAAACGTTCAGTTTACGCTGACATACTGGATGCTGTTAAAGGGACAGCTCACCCAAAAATGAAACTTCCGCCACCATTAAAGTGAATGGTGACTTAAACGGTCATTATCCTTGTGTGTTGTTCAGTAAAAAGAAAGTCATGTGTTTTTGGAACAGCATGAGATTGAGTAAATGATGACGTATTCTCATTTTTGGGTGAGATGTCCCTTCAAAAATCTATGTAAAACCATCATGTCATTAGATGACATTGCCTGCTGCAGTGAAAGTGCAAAAGTGTTTTAAGCTGCTGGAGTAAATCTCATTCGACTGTGTCCTGCTGGTCTGATGAGCGACCGTCTCATTGAATGCCAGATTAGCAGCTCTGATAATCTCATAATAATGTTACGTCTGAGGTCTTTGAGCTGTGCGGAAGGTTTAGAAGAAGCTTATTGATAGTTCTTGTCATTATGTTGTTGCAAACCAACATGTACCAGTCTTTCTTCTGTGGCACAGAAAAGAAGATATTTAGCACAATGTCAAAGCTGCTCTTTCCCTATATAATAAAAGTGTAATAATAATTATATTTTACATTATAACTGTAAAATTACAATACTAATATTTTTGGCTGTCTTTAATTAATTAATTTTTTTTAAATGGTAAACCTTAACTTTTACCATAACTTTAAACAACTTTTATTTTGAGGGAAAACTACAGAGATCCTTTAAATCTAAAATCTACAGCTGGTTTATAAGAGCTTTTCATTTTCATTTCAGAAGGTGGTTGGTGGATGTTGCATTTCCAAATTGCGTGGTAGAAGTGGCCCAAAACACTTTCAGAATTTTTTTCCCCATCTGGTGAACAATAAAACATTGACAATCAGAATCCACCCAACTTTAATGAGCTTGAGCATTTAAATGCTGTAATATGTGCTAATAATAAACAATGTTATCGTGCATTTGTGTGGATGCTAAAATATAGTTATTGTTGCAGTTATCTTTATAATTATCATTCTTGGTCTGAACAGGCCTTAACATCTGTCTTCTCACAGACATGACAAGACAGGAGTAAAGTATCTGTTCTCGGCCGGAGCGTGAGGTTGGGCAGAGGATGCTGGAGGAGAGTGATGGAGAGTTGGAGGGGATCGGAGGAGGAGGAGACGGGGGGCTCCAAGCAGAGGTGGACAGGCTGGCGGCAGAACTCCAGGAAGCCAATGAGGAGAAGTTACAGGCTGCACGGTACGGCCTGGCCGTTCTGGAGGAGAGTGCTGCACTGAAGATCAAACACAGCCAGCTGGAGGAAGATCATGAAGCCCTTAAGATGGAAGTGCAACAGCTCAAAGAGGTCAGTCAAGAGAGAGACAGATAGAAAGAAGGAAAAGAGGGGTAGAGGTTAAATTAAGCTATTGAGGAAATGCTGCATGAAACAAGGAGCTTTTTTTCCAGCCAGTGATTCGCAAAATGGTTTATTGTACTCGAATTTGTAATTTATTCATTTCTGCAAATGATTTAAATGATTCATTATGGCATAGGTTAGAGTATTTGTTGCCTAAATGTCTCTTGATTTTCAGTGGTTTCTTGCTCTCAGTAGCCAATAATTCGCCACACAAAACATATTGTGGTCAACACAAATCATGTTTATTATTGAAACAAGTGAACCTGTATTAAATGTAATCTGGGTCATATTTCCTATTACCTTGAGTAATTTTGTTTATCATTTTTGAGGATGAGGGCCTATCACAACCTGTTCTTGTTGGCTTCTAAGAACAGATGGATTTGTTCGTTTTGGACACACAACCTTTCACATCAGAGTTATCAAAATATGGGTTTATCTGCTTTTTTTCCATGGTGACCCTATCAGAACAGACCTGCAACCAAATTTGAATGCTTTTTAAAGAGATTTTGTCCATATAA